CCCCAAAACCCCAAAACCCCAAAACCCCATAAGAATCGATTGAGAAAGTTTTAGTTTTTCAAAAAAATAGTTGTGTGAATTATTAATAAAATTTAAATGCATATGAACTAGTTTAATAATAGATTGATATTTTTAACTTCTAATATTACATATGAATTCAAAAATTACGCTCACACTCAAAGATCCTGCCGCAAGAGCAAAATATCTACTAAAATGCAACAGATAAATTCTAATTTTGAGCTTACTCGTTTTTATATCCAGATTAGTCATGTTCGGAGCAATTATAATTGCCTCTTTCATTAATCAAAGGTCATTTACCTCTAATGTGTTCATAATTGCAGGAGCGACATTTGGATATCACATTATACTGCTTGTATTAACTTACAGATTTCCAAAAAGTTTTACTTATCTCCATTCGCCATTGCTATCAATAAGTTACATTCTAAGTTGTTTGATGTAATTTTATGGTCCAGCTTCCTTTGTAGCAGTGATCTAATCACCATAACAATGGAATTTTTCCTGATAACTGGATTAGTGCTAAACTTTTGTTGGTATATTACTACTATCGGCCTAATATTAAATTTGATTTTTGGTATAGTTATTCTTGTCGTAAAGTACGACATCTTAGATGTTGGAACTATGGGTTAATACTTGATTAGTACATTATTTATCATTTATGCTTGCTATATGAATGAATATACTACTAAAAACGAGTATCTTAGACTAATTGAGAATGAAAAAATGAATCAAGATTTGAAGAACCTACTTATTAATCTACCCAATCCTATTCTACTATATGACTAGGAAAATTTCAAGGTTGTCTTGGGAAATAAAGAACTTAATAAATTACTTTCTATATCCGAAGAACAGGATAACTCTATAATTGCAGGAAGATTAACCGAGTAAATCTTTTAGCCCTATAGCAATTACATTGAAGGCTTGGGTGATAGTGAGTAATCTTCAGAACAGTAGATCAATACAATAAGACTCAATATTCATGAAGCTGTCCTAAGAAATGACCCAAATGAATTTTTCTAAATCAAAACTAAATACAACTTTGAAGATGACTAGAATCATACTTCATAAGAATAACCAAAGTACTTAGAAATCTTTACTCTAAAGTAATAAGACCTTTAGTTTTAAAGCAACCCATTTAAGCTTATCCTATTTAACAGGGTAACATCTT